GAACATGAAATTGAGTTTGTGTCTGTATGAAGAAGTAATAACCTGGGACCATGCTATTTCAAAAAAAGATGTTTTATTTGTATTTTGTTTTTGTGAAAACCCAAATAAAATTTTCAAAAAAAAGAAAGAAAAGAAACTAGGTACAAAAGCCAGGCTTACTACTGACCGAGAACATAGTGAAATGGTGGATAGTCTCTGTGCAGAGGTGGTTCTGACCAGTTCTAGAGAACTGGTAGTGGAAATTTTGAGCAGTTTGGAGAAACGGCAAATACCACCTCTGACTGGCCTCGCCACCATCTATTCTCTGCCTCCCGAGTCCCAACTGATCGGCTAGGTCTTCTTTTGTTGCCCTGCATAGGAGAACGGAGCTGTAAAGCAGGTTAATGGGGTGGGGAAGGAATGGGATTTTTCAGTAACCTTCCATCTGAAGTGGGGTTGGAATGGAGATGTTACAGTATCCTTCCCCTGCCACCCCCACAAAGCCACGCCACGCCACGCCACGCCTACCAAGCTGTGCCCAGAGAATCGGTAGTAAATTTTTTTGAACCCCGCCACTGTCTCTGTGCCTTATAATGTCAATCAATAGTATATGATGAACAAGCATTCAAGAGATCTGTTCCGAACTAGCAGGCTCGTAAGCCTGAAACTCTAATTGCTTTTCCTTCCACGGCAGGCTCGTAATCCTGCACTTTTGATTGGTCCGTGAATAGCCGATCGTGATTGGTCATTTTAGACTAATCCGATTGGCTAGTTAACGGGTTGCTGCGATTGGACGCCCCAAGCGCGGCAAACTCAAATTATTGGATGTTTTGACAGCAGCCAGCTGTATAAAAGGAGCTGCTGCTGCCTGAGTATTTCGCTCTGTTCTGAAGTCACTAATAAAGAGTTGGAGTCACTATTTCGATGCCTCGTCTCCGTTCTTGTGCCCACTCTCCCAGATCTAACAAGATCTAACATGGCCTAGCACACAGTATGGAAGCAACAAAGGCCACTGAATAGATATTTGGATCCTGGAATGTGTCTATTCCAACAAAGGTCAGATTAGTGCAAGAAATTGTATTTCCTGTGACACGCTCTAGAAGGAAGGAAAAGAAAATGTACTTTGGAAAAGCAGAATAAAAGGAGTTTTGACACTTTTGAGCTTGATGTTGGAAAAACTGCCTGAGAAGACTATGGGCAGCCCAGAAAAATCAACAAAAATGAACAGATTATCCAAAAAAAATAAAAAAAAATCAAAGCAGAGTTCTCACTTGAGACACAAATGACTAGGCTGAAATTCTTCTACTGGGACCCATGTTAAAACCTTTCTCAAATGCTGAGAATTGTGAAAGGAAAGAGAAGACCAGCAGCAAAGGGGGTGTAGTTGATTTCAGCAATGAGTACCACATTGTAAGATCTCAACAATCAAGTTAGGGACAATTGTCCGGGAGAAACTCTATCTATATGGCTACTTAAGGTTGACACTGACGATGACAGATCTCTATCTATCTATCTATCTATCTATCTATCTATCTATCTATCTATCTATCTATC